TGCTTTTTGGGACCGCCCCAAAAAAAGCGATGTCATGCAGAAGCAAATGCTTGTTTCGGGTGCACCCAAGACGCTCGGCCCCCACCGGGGAGCCAAACCCGCCTGATGGCCCGGCCCCGGAACGGGAGCCGCCTGAAGGTCTCCGGAATCAGCCACGCGCAACCGCTGAGGTTTCGTATCAGCTCTTGGGCGGTATCCTGCACATCGGCGACCGGGCCCACACTGGCCATTACCGAATGTTCGAGATACGTGACGCCTCTCAGGTGCATGACCAGCTTGCCCCTGATGACCTGATAATGCGCGACGACAATGTTCAACAAACTGCAGCGACCAGGGCAAATCCGGTGCAGATCCATCGCAATGCATATGTACTGCTCTTTAGGAAGATCTAGGTGTACAGACGGCATTTCCGTGCTTTTTACTCGTAGTGTGCTGAGCTTCGGCTCCACACTCTCCTGGCGACTTTATTCCTGAAAGGAATCGCCCGCTAGACATGAGACCCTCATGCTGCTGCGCTTGAATGAAATGACGCACCCAGTGTAGCGGGTGTGCCCTGCTTTCCTTGCGCAGGCCAAGGAGGTTAAAGTTGACGTGGGGTGGTCATAGCCGTCTTGTCCAGCGCTGCAGTAAAATTCAAAGAACCTGGGGATTGAAAGCATCGCTCGCTGTACCTGTGTCTGTGACCGTCTGNNTTTTCTGCCGCTGACGAGTGTGTCGTCCAGCTGTGCTGCGACTTTTCTGACGACGGCTTGAGCTTTCCCCACGTGTTTGAAAAAAGGTGCAGTGCATGCTTGTGCACTTCAGTAGAGCGAGACACAAGAAGTTTGTTGTGTGTCAGCACGCAGCTTCGTTGTGTATTCGAGGCCATCTTGGCTTAAGTCTGTTCGTTTTGTTGCCCGCCCGCCCATCCCAGTGAGGAACGACTCTGATCCCTTTTGGGATCTTGGTCTTGGTTTTGGCCTGTGAGGCGTCAGTCAGACTGCTCGCCTGACTCTGCCCTGGGAAAGTGGCATTTTTGGTTTTCTCAGTATTGACAGCTGCACTCTGCAGACTTCTTTGGACAGTTTGCTCAGCTTGCCACCTCCTGTACCGAGGCCTCGAGTGGCACCTGCTGTAACTCCTGGCTCCAGCTCTCCTGTCTGTGACGTCCTCTGTCTTTTAGGCACCTGGCAGGGCAAAGGAGCTGCAGTGGAGCTCCAAGGAGGAGCGTAACAAGAGTGTTCAGGCACTGTGCAAGTGGTCCAACCTTCTGATGCTCTTGCCTCAGCTGTTTGCTTCTGTCACTGTGGCAAAGCTTCCTGAGTGTCGCGATCAGCAGTTGATTGAGTACCTTGACTTGCAGTTCATCAAGAAGAGCACCAACACACTGTTGACCAGGGCCCAGCCGTTGACAAGGTTCGTTCTGTGGCACAAGGAGTTGTCTCAGCAGCCGGTTCGCCTGCACTGCAGGTGGCTGCAGGGCTGTGCTGCTGCCAGCAGCATTGACTGTCTTGTTTCCAGCCTGAACTTTGTGCACGGCACTCTGGGTCTCTGTGTCCCTGTGGCAGACCTTCTTTCTGCGCGTGTGCGAGGAATCGCACACGCTCACCTCCTGCTCTTACTGTTGCTCAACTAAGGTGGTTGGAGTATTCTGCCCCCACGGCCGACGACCTGTACGAACACCTGGTGGCCTGTAAGCTCAGGCTCGTCGCAGCGATCTTGCACGAGCTACGCACATTGTGTTTGAGCTCACCCCTGACGGTCTGGAGGGTTTCGTTGAGTGCCGCGTGAAGAACCCCAAGCAGTCCCGCGCTTCTAGCAAAACGATCCTTTTCCTGCCCTTGACTGCGCTGTTCATTGGCCTGGCGGAGGTGCCCTGGACCGCTACATTTCTTGCAGTGCGTCAGGCTAGTCGCCTGACAGGCTAGTCGCCTGACAACCTCAGTCAGGTACCCTTGACCAGCCTCCTCTTCCTGGCTAATCTGTGACTGGTGACTGACTGCAAGACTTGTGTCAGCAGTGGGCAACTGACACTTTGGTGGCGCAGCATTTTAGCACAAGCACCTGACGTTGGTTGCCAAGGTCCGTAGTCATAGCAGTAAGCGCCTCTGTTGAGTTGGAGATCGAAGGCCGGCCTCAGCGACAGGACCTTGACGTTCCTCGGCTACCACAATCACGGCGTCAACATGGCCGGTGTTGGTTACCGGCGTGATGCTCTGGCTGGCCCACTGCGTGAGCTTGGTGGAGTGGTCTTGTCGGTGAAGAAAGGCAAGTTTGCTCCTAACGTCACGAGGAGTGGTCGCCGGCAGGAGCCGTCCAGTCCGGCTTCTGCTGCTTCGGTGGTCCCGTCGCGTCCCGGCAGTGCAGGGCGTGGTTCTGGTGCTGATCCTGAAGCTGTGGACACTGGCAGTTCGAGTGGATCGGATGTCGCTTCTGCTGATAGCGACGATGGCGATGAGCAAGCTGGTGGCCTCTGCGCTGCACTTTGTGGAGATTCTGGTTGTTGGTGGCTTTGCTGTAGCAACGAACAAGCAGAGTGGGCTACTGCACGTCCGTCGACAAGAAAGTGGTCGACTTTTGTGCGGACGAGTTCTGAGCTCGGCTTTCGACGTCTTTGGCAAGCTTGATGCTGGTGTCAAGCAGTTTTCTCGTACCTGCAAAACCTGTGCTCTGGCCTCCACCTAGCGGGGACTGAAAGCATCGCTGGCTGTACCTGTGTCTGTGACCGTCTGCCTAAACGGTGCTGGCCCTCTGCTGCTTTTCTGCCGCTGACGAGTGTGTCGTCCAGCTGTGCACTGGAGTGCTGCGACTTTTCTGACGACGGCTTGAGCTTTCCCCACGTGTTTGAATAAAAGTGCGGTGCATATTTGTGCACTTCAGTAGAGCGAGACACAATAAGGCATGTTTGTCACAAACGGCCGTGCCATAGACTTTTTGGGGGTGTTTCTGCATGTGCCGTCATCTGCTTATTATATGAGTTTGTTGAATATTTTTTGCCTTTTCTGTGCATTGTTTGTGCGTTTGTTGTATGCCGTTGCGTGTTTTTATACGTTTCTCCATGCGTTGTGTCTTGTTTGTTGTTGCCTTTTGTTTGAGTGTATTAAATCTGCTGTCGGTGTTAGTTTTACTTAGTTGCCTTGTTTGGGTTTCCATGTGTGTTTTTTCTGCGTTTTCTGCTTTTCCCAGGGTTCCAAGACGAGATAGGATGCGGACTGACATTGAACCTTCGATGTTCCAGACGTGGACGCATGAGTTCGGAGATCTTGCACTTGTGCAGGCAACATGGTCGACTCGGCTCAGCGCTCAGCCAGATAAGCCGTCCACCTTGCGTCTTCCGACAGCGCCGGGAATGGACGTCGGGAATTGAGGAAGCCTGTCTGGTGTGATCGGCAGCCCAGAAAAAATCGCTTGAAAAGCTCCAATGTTTCCGTGCCATGGCAGCTGTTTGTCAAGCCTCCTTGTCCGCCAAGGCTTCAACAAGAAGGAGGCGAGAGCATGGGCAGCCCATGTTCAACATCGTAGTGTTGTTGGGACAGGTTTATGATTGCGTGGAGGCTGAATCATTTATTTGCCAAGCCCCCATCAGATGCAGAAGTAGTAGGTCGGATGTTGTGAAGGAGAGCCGACCGTTGCCACGACAAATTGCTCGAGTGGGCGACGAACATACAGCTACAGCTGATGCCTGTGCCGTGTGCCCCTTTGCAGCTGGAGGAACGAGGTCCGGACTTGCCCGAGATGTACTGAGCTTTGGCGTCGTGATGCGCGTATACCTGTGTGCATGAGGGGAAAGTCTGGAGTGGTCGGAAGTTCCGAAGGTTGGGGTTGGCTTCCATTCCAATGCATCCATGTTCAGATTGCAGCACTGCCACCAGATTGGACACGAAGCCAAGTCGAGTCCGAAGAAGCACATGAAGCTGAGCACCTCTCCGTTCTCTCCCATTGAGGGTGTGCCTCAAATTCAATGCACGCTTGGAAGCTGAAGACTGCGAAAGAGCCCTCATCAACGGCGAAGACAGTAAGTGGCTGCCATGCTCATACGCCGAAGGGATCCCAAAGCTCGGAGTTCGCTGCTGCCGGTACATGCAACTACTAGTGTTGGCGTGTGCCGTGACATTCAATGGTAGCCGATTGACACGCTCGCATTCGTTACCCTTCAGTGCAAGAGACCCAGAACCAACACCGCGTGCCCTGTGCCACATCGCTTGAGATGAAACAAAGGGAGGGCATCTGAATCGAGACAAACCGGCCTGAAAGTGCCAAGCCCCGAAGAGCCACCACTGTCGATTTTAGCATGCTCGTTTGGTTGGAACAGAGCATAGCCTCATAGACAGTAAGTAGCGACAGGCAGCTGCGACAACAGACGCAACGCTAGGCTCGGACAAGTTGAACCTCTTGCGGACGCAGGGTTGGAGCGCATCAAAATTGTCCCTTTGTAAACGGATTCCAACAGTTCCCGCAACAAAGCCTGTCGTTTCGTCTTCGGAATCCCGGGCTGTGCTGCAAGTGACTCACGTGCAGACTTGAGCTGGCAGATGCTGGCAGACGACGTTTAGACGTCGTATATGTTTCGGTTCCAGTGCTCTGTCCGAAGCGTTCTGACCCAGAGTATGCTAGGAACTCTGCATAAAAAATGACCTATGCCTATGGCCTGAGATGAGTTCCGTTGTTCGGGATTTTCGTGCCAGCTTGGGTTGGCTGCTGCAAGCTCCACTGCGAAGCAGGCTTGCGGCCTTCATCTCGCACTGTAGGCATCTCGATCCAATTGCTCATAGCATGGATCGTTGAATCCTAGTCCATCCCGTTGTAGACGTCGAAATAGCTGGCAAGTGCCATGCGACAGCTTTATCACCTGTCTTCCGGTTGTTCCAGTGCCAGTGCGTGTGGCATCCGTACCGAACTCATGCAGGGGTGTCATTAAGAAGATGTCAATCCACACGCTTAGCAAATGCAGCAAGCTCTACTTGTCTACCGCACTGGGCATGTTGTGCTGATTGGTGCTTGTGATGGGGAAGATGATCATGGAGGTTGGTACATAATGGTGCTTTTTTGCCCGCAGCCGGTTTTTGTGGTAGCTCACAGTGGTTGGGAAGCCATGGGCAATGCTTGTCCGGCCAGGCTCACCTTTCGGGTGCTTGTGTTCGCTGTTTCCGGTCGAGTCAACCAGTGAGGTGTCTGGGTGTACGGCTGATGTGCATCTGTCACATGTGTCATACTGTCCACGTTCATGAAACTTGTCGAAAGTCCATTGAAGAATCCAGATAGTTCAAAATCGTCAGTGTGCTTTGTGCCGATGCGGCTGAACTCTTCTAGCTGTTACTAGTCTGCAATTGCAGCCGTAAACACTCCCAGATCTCAGCAATCTGTGAGGAAATCCCTGGATGGGCCGTCGAGGGAGAAGGCATGCGAAGAAGGGCTCTGGCTCCTCGCTGGGCTTGAGACTGCCATTATTCCATAGCTAGTTTGCGATGAGAAGCAAGCACCGAGCTCAGCAAGCGATGTAGATTCTGCACATTCTTTGATGGCTTTCGCACGACCGTGACTCATGCCTAACACTAACAATGCCTTGCCAAGAGATGGCAAGCGTGCCATGGTGCGAATCCCGTAGCAGCACCATAACGGTATAACCAAATCATGTGTGTACTTCGGGTGACGGGTGGGGTTTCATGACTTTACAGACTATAAGTTTGGTGATCAGCCGTATGGCATATTGTCCAGCCCTCAGATTCCTGGTCCAGCCTGCAGTTTCGGCGGAGAAGGCCGCAGCTCAGACCACGAGAACTTATCCATCTACAAATGCTTACACATATTCGCACCAACGACAACCTCCGAGATGCAAATGCCTGAGGTGAGGGTTTGCTTAGCATATCCTCCGACCACTTCAAAGTGTAAGCTTAAACAAAGGCTTCCTTTCAAAGCCAAGTTGCGATGCCTAGCCGCAGCATGTGAGCCTATTATTACGGCGGTCTAGAATTGCGCCCAAAGCTACAAGCTCGCGTTGTTTGCTGGATAGTTTCGAACATGTCGATGTGCCCCTGCAGATAAGCATGCAGACGGTGAAGGAGCGGGGCTATGTCGTTGTTTTCAACAAGGCCCGTCGTCTGTAATGTGGTGGAAGTGCGGCGTTGGAGCTTCACGTTGTTCGTGCAGAATATTCCGAACATCAGTTGATGCATGTCGTTGTCAGTGCGCATGATTCGGCGGTGTTTGGAATGGTGGACTGGGCAGGTAGAAACACCCACAGACTTCAGCAGCATGTAGGCCTTGCTGGGCCTGGTCCGCCGAAAGGTGTACAATCTCAAGGACTATGTGCGCAAGCACCCAGGTGGTGAAGACATTCTTCTCAGTGTTTTCGGCAGAGATGCAACAGTCACTTGGCGGTGCACAAGCGACAATTCGCAGACACATGCAGGTCACTGTTTGCGATCATAGGTTAAACATCGCGGTGCTAGCTTCGTTGAGGAACCCAGAAGTCATGCTCAACGGTAAAGCTAGTGTAAAGCTGACAGATGTTCCATCAAGGAGCAACATCTGTCAGAGAGGTTGGGTCCTGCACATTCACTGTTTCGTTAACGCTTTCCAATGACTGCAAGCATAAAACAGCATCGTCACCGTGGGGCTTGCAAGATGAGGCGCGTGGCGGTATGTGCAGATCACATCTTGTTCGCTAGACCTTCTTGTTCATCGCATTGGGCACGCGGAATGACAACGTGAAGGTTTCACCACTCAAGCTAAGCATGGTTCATGTTCGAATAGTGAAGGCGCTGTTTCCGCACCCGTTGCGGCGCCAAGGTTCCAGTCCCCTTTGAGCGCTCTGTTTCGTTGACTCGTGGCCGGCATGCTCTGCTATCTTAACCCTGCACTTACGTTTTGAGCCTTATGCTGATCAGGACCCCAGCAGTACCCTTGTGTCGCTCTAATTCCCACAGGTATACAGGTTCACAACTAAATTAAGCATTCCAAGGTCGAGTATGAGACGATGAGACACTCACCACAAGCTCTGCAGCAGGTGGGCCCCTGCGATATTTCATGGCAGAGTACTAGGATCCAAACATGCTTGGGGAGCTGAATATCGCGAGGTTGGCACTTCTCACGAATGTGTCAAAGGCTTCAACATTAAGCTTGAGGAAGGGTTCGGCCTCCAAGGTCAGTCATCTTCTGATCGGCAGCCTGAATGTCGCGGTGACGGAAGACGGCAGCTGTGAATCTTGATTGCCACCTTACACAGCAGACGCGCTTTGTGTCAGGATTGCAACACCTGTGGAAGTACGTTTGTTGGCAGGGTATGCAGTCGTGAATCATGCATGTGGATCTCTGTGGAGATTGCACGAATCGAGAGCCGTGCCATGTCGATGTGTCAAGATTGTGCCGGCCTCGACGATAGCTTGTTGAGAGTCACACCAAGTTCGTCGGGGCGAAGGAAGGCTTTCCCTAGAATTTCCGAGAGTCGATCATTGAGGAGAGCCCGAGCGCCAGGAAGCTCTCCTTGACAGGCCGGGGGAGGGATTTCAGCACAGCCGTTGCCGTGAAGAGCGGGATCGAAGCCTTCAGTTGTAACAGAACCCTGAGTCCATGCACTGTCTGTGAGTTCTTCAGGTGGCCGACCGAATTCGCGGCCTGACGTCGACGGAAACAGATGGTGGAACGTCGACGTTCGAGGTTCCAAGAACCGCGAGTCGCACCGTCTCCTGCAAACTTGCACATGTTACTTAGGACTAGGACCAGGACTTGTTATTGCATAAACTCAAAATCCCATAAACACCCTCCATGCTTATGGCCTTTGAATCCCGGCCAGGCTTTTTGCCAAGCGTCGACCCCGTGAAGACGCTGCCTCCGCCATGGGATGCAGTGATCTCGCTTTGCTCCTTGGCAGTCTCTACAAGTTCCAGGGCTTCCGGAGCTTTAGCTTTCGGCCTCTCATTACTTTCTTCATTAGTAGTAATTAGTTCCGAACCCTAAACCCTATAAACCCTTGGGCGCTGGGGAGAAGGTGAGATTCTTCCTTCCGTGCCGCTTGGCGGCAGAGTCAAGGCCGACAATTGCACGCTTCGAGTACGTTGTCGGACTTTTATGGGGGGTCCGGGAAGTGCCAAAAGTGCAGAGTTCGCAGGGCAGTTGATATCTTTTCAGCAGCAGGTCAGAGAGACCTTGTAAGGGCTCCGGCGAGTGCGTGACGACGATCGTTTTAGTTCAGGATTTGCCTGTTTTTTCGTTTGTCTATGAAGCTAAGGGCAATCCAAGGGGCATGGGCCCACACCGTGCTGGATCTGCCTTCGACAATGGACGCCGTGACACCGGGCTACAAGGAAATCGCTGGGAGAATGCATCAGCCATCCTTACGGCGTAGATTCCCCAACACTCATATATATATATATATACATACATATATAGCACCACGACCACCAGAACGACCACGACGCCCTCGACTTCCACCACGATCAAGACGGCCAGGACGACCACCAGACAACCGGAAGACCACCAGGACCCAAAATCATTCCTCCCCGTCCCCCAAATTGGTGGGATTCAAAGTCCTAGGTTCGAGGCTTACCAGAATGCTTCCCCGCGCATTGAATGGTGGGTTTCGAGCGATTTCAAATTACACCATCCCAGCATCGTTCGACTCATGCGCTGGCGGGATTCAGCATTCTACAAGCACCCTTACCACAACGCTTCCCCGCCTTGTCTGGTGGGTTGCGAGCATTTTCAGGGCGCAGCGACACACATGTCCAGATTTTTCCCGGCATTCC